GGCCACGGTGCCTCCAGCTGTCTGCAGAGTATAACTGCTGCTTTAAGCTAAAGCAGTTCAAGTAGAAAGCAAACATAGTGTATGCAGTTGGCCAGTTGGAGGCACCTCATCCATCAGCTGATGTAGGTTAGTATTGAAATCACCTGGGATTGTTGGATGAGCTCAAACACTTGACTATAAGCTGTTTTCATCAACAGAGATGGTTTTATGGCATGAAGGTCTGAGACAATCCAGCACCAGTTATTGCTGAGCTCCAGTAATAACTGTTCTGCCCAGCACACATACTTAAACATGATCTATAATTATGACAGATGCACAGTAGTGACATCTAACCTGTGTGTCATCTGTCAGGCCTGAGGCCACCAGCATTATTAAAGTCATCGGTCAGAGTTTACACGTTCATGCAAATATATAATATTATTGTGTACACATCCCACACAGCAAACACCGTCAGATGCTTGCACGCCTCCTGTGAAATGACCAGCAACCTGTTGTAGTTGCAGCTGATTTAAAAAACGCTGGTTTAGAGAGAGTTGGCTTCACATGGTTCACGTTCAGGTTCAGGGCTGAGCAACATGGACCAAAAATCACAACTCAGTATTTTTATAGGACGTCCAAGATGTATTTTACAGTTTAGCTATGAAAGCAGCATCAGCTGTATGGAGGAGTTGAAGAGTTACAGTCCTTTGAAGCTGTGTCGTATGAGATCCTCACCCACAGTCAGTGTGTGGTGCTACAGTAACACTGTGGTGCTACAGTGTTACTGTAGCACAACCAACATGATCCCAGCTGTGTGCAATGAACTGTCGTTGCCTTTAAATGATTGCTTTGAATAAGAGGAGCAATCAGCTGATACGTTCAAACAACATTGGTGCACCAAGATGGCGACAAACAGCTTCAGCTACAGTTCATGTGTGAATGGGTCACGTGTGAAGTACATTATCCAGTCCAGCCTGAAGCACATTACATTACACACGTACATTAGTTCCCCCACAAACAGTGACACGGTTGCTGCAGGAGGGCAATTTAATTACAAAATGAGCAATCTGCACACAGCAACCACTGCAACGGCAATCTTGCTTTTATATCGTTTTATAACCAGAATACACGTAGCTGCCAACCAGGTGACCCGAGTCCCCCATTCAGTCTAGTTCAATGCAATTAAACAACAACAGTCTCCTCAAGGTGCTGTGTATTGTGAGGTGGAGACCCTGCAATATTAGACAGAAGCCCCAACAATCACATGATGCACTGTGACAGCAGGAATGAAAACGTCCTTTTTAACAGGCAGAAACCAGAAGAACCAGTCTCAGAGAGGGGCAGCTGACAGCCTGGACCAGTCGGGCTGTTAGGAAAGCAGAAAGCAAAGTGTAATCATTACTAATGATTACATACAGTTAGAGCTGGGCGATATAAGATTGTTTCATATCACGATATGTTTTTTTCATTTCAGGCGATAACGATATATATCACGATAATGATATATATCGTGATATATATCACGATATATATCACGATAACGATATATATCGTGATATATATCACGATAACGATATATATCATGATATAAGCCAAATAACTTCATTTGTAAGATTTAAATGTGCCGTTGCTCACAAGCAAAATGTGAACTAATCAGCAGCTTGTTTTGATTTAAATATTTATTTCCCATAATAAGTTCAACAGGGCAGATGTACTTAACATGAGACTTTTTCAGATAAATAAAGGCAAATATTGCAAACTACACAAAAGGCAGCCGCTAAAGTGTTTAAGTTTCAAAACAAAACAAACAAAACTACTAAATTGTCAATTCCACTTAGAAACAAAATATTAATTCTAAAAATAAATCTTAGTTTGTTTTACAGAAGAACAGACAAAATTGACTAACTTTTGTCAACATCAAATAAACTGAGAACTTATTATTATTATTATTGTATTTCCAGACTTGCTTTCGGCACATTTACAGTGCGCGCTACTCTGTTTTTGTCAGACTTGAAATAGCAGAAATACCTTCACACTACAGAACTTCTGTGGCTCTTCTGTTCGACAATCTCTCCGGCGTTGGAACCATCATCTGTTTTCTCTTCGGTAACCTTCGCTCACGCTCTCGGTTGATTTTTCTCTAGTCAGCACACTCATTTCCTCCGTTACCCGGGCGACACGGCGGCTGGCTGCTTCCCAAACAAATACACATGTGTGGCTTGGCACTTGTGCTGTACGTAACAAGTCACGTGACGTGACGCTGTGGCTGTGATTGGTTCGGCTCTGCACTACTTAATTTGGATTGGCTGTTCTTCTGTTTTTTTAAGAGGACAAGAGCGGTGAGGTCTATCGCAATAGTTTCATTTTTCTATCGAGAAAAAGTTATTTCACAATACATATTGTTATCGTTCTATCGCCCAGCTCTATACAGTAGTGCTGTATAAGCTCACAGGGAGAGAAATGATGAGCAGCAGCACAGCTAAGATCAGGGTCACCTGAGCTTAATCCAAAAGAAAAGTTTTAAGTCTAATTTTAAAGGTAGAGCGTCTGTCTCTCTAATCCTGGTCCCATAAAAGAACTTTTAAATAAACTATTGAGTAAGTAAGACTTTTAAAATGAAATCTTTAAGATTGGTTGTGGATTATTTGAGATTTTTATTCTCAACATGGAGTCAATGAAAAAAGAAGCTAAGCCTGTGATATTCTGTAACTAATGTTTGTGTGAGACACACTCGTCAAATGTGTCAGATAGATGTGATTCAGACACTACAGCTCAGGACCTTTAATGCCAACGGTGTGATCTCTGTGTCAGTGCTAACGCTGCTCTGAGGTCTGACAGGACAAGCACAGCGACGGGTTTATCTGTAAATCCTGACTGAAACTCCTCAGATAAAACATCCTTTGTAAATGATCAGTTAACTGTTTGACAACTACTCTTTCACCAGTTTTTCAAAATAAAAGGTTTGATGTATAATTAGCTGAGACAGCTGGATCAAGCCTGTAGTATGTATCCTGTTTAGAAAGATAGATTAATCATTTCAAATGTAAGCGTTAATTATGGGGCAGAGATCTGTACTTACTGGCACGACTGTGATTATTTTTCTCTGAAGGTTAAAACTTTATCTGTGGCGACAGTCTTCAAATCGTTGCTCTCGAAGGTTAAAGGAATATTTGGCTCAACAGAGCTTTCTGTCAGCTTTATTCCCGTTTTCCTGGATCAGTGACAAACAGTACGATGTTCCAGGTTTATGGAGGCCTTTTATAGAGTAACAAGTTCTCCAGGACAAATGAAGATCTGTTAAATTAGTGAAACCATTTCCTGTTTGAGAGTTATAACAGGAAGTCAGATTTCTCTTGAAGAAATCACTTAATGAACCTTAATTTCAGCACATCCTACAGTGCTTTAGAAAAATTACCGACTTCATATTAATTGTAGCCTCTGGGTGTTTCCATCATCACAGACGAGTTGCACTGACTCGTGCAAATTGTCACGTTGGATGCTGATGAAAAACTGACCTTTCTTTGGTGATTTCACAAGATTCCAACAGAAAGTCCGTAATTCAGACTGAAGACAGACGCAGGGATACCCTCAGGCAGAACAGCTACACCAACTGGTGCACCAACTCAGGCCTCACATACACAGGAGACTAACTGGGGAAACAAAAGTCAGCTGGAGGAAAACAGATGATCAGAGTCAAAGTAAAGAGACAAAACTAAACACAAGACAAGAGACTGGGAAAATAAAACAGGAAGTTACTAAACACCAGACACAGAGACACCGAGTTGCATATAAACAATAACCGAGAGCAGAACCAGAAACTAAGACTAAGAAACAAACACAAAGCCAAGCGAGATCAAGAACTACATAAAGACTACACAGTGAAGCATCTTGATCTTATTGAGCAAAACTCAAATCATAACCAAAATCTGTAAATAACTCAGATGCCAAAATATTAAATCCCATAAGTGAAATGCTGGGTCAGAGGCCTGGGCATGATGGAAAGTGTTGCCCAGAGGTTGAGGGGGCTCAACCTCTGGGCAACCTTGGGCATCAGACCGACCAGCCTCCACTGACAAAGACTCATTTTACATTTAATTCAATTCAATTTTATTTATATAGCTCCAAATCACAACAAAAGTCGCCTCAAGGTGCTTCATAGATACAGAGAAAAACCCAACAATCATATGACCCCCTATGAGCAGCACTTTGGCGACAGTGGGAAGGAAAAACTCCCTTTTAACAGGAAGAAACCTCCAGCAGAACCAGGCTCAGGGAGGGGCGGGGCCATCTGCTGTGATTGGTTGGGGTGAGAGAAGGAAGACAGGATAAAAG